TAAGCTAGGACCTCCAGACTTACAGAAACAGATGAGATTTCCTAAGCCATGACCATGACAAGGTAATGGTCTTCAGATTTCTTTTTTTTTTTAAGATTTTATTTATTTATTTGACAGAGAGAGACACACAGCGAGAGAGGGAACACAAGCAGCGGGGGCAGCAGAGGGAGAGGGAGAAGCAGGCTTCCCGCCGAGCAGGGAGCCTGACGTGGGGCTCGATCCCAGGACCCTGGGATCATGACCTGAGCCGAAGGCAGACACCCAACAACTGAGCCACCCAGGCGCCCCTGTAAAAGCTTTTGATTAAGGGATACAAACACCTCATCATATTTATTAGAATAATTTCTAACTTACTGTTTATTTTAAAATTTTTATATATTTTTGTGTGTATGAGTTTGTTTTTAATGTAACCAAATAGATGTTTTGTGATTTATTGTTTTGTTAATCTTAGAAAGCTGTCTTCGTTTCCCAGGGCTGCCATAATGAAGTACCAAATATTGGGTGTCTTATAACAACAGAAATTTATTGGCTCACAGTTCTGGAGGTTACAAGTCCAAAATCAAGAACTTGGGAGGGCTGTGCTTCCTCTGATGGTTCCAGTGGAGAATCCTTCCTTGCCTCTTCTAGCGTCTGGCATTTACTGGCAATCCTTGGTATTCCTGGCCTTGTAGATGCATCACTGAATTTGTAGGGTGGTCTTCTCCCTGTGTATATTCACATAATCTTCTCACTGTGTCCAAATTTCCCTTTTATAAGGACACAAGCCATAGTGGCTTAGGGTTTACCGTAATGACCTCATTTTAACTTGATTATCTCTGTAAAGACCATGTTTCCAGATAAGGTCCTATTGTAGGAGTACTAGGGGGTTAGGACTTCAACATATCTCTTTTGGGGGGGAGCACAAAACGAAACCTATCCCCATATAGAGAAATTTATAGATATACAGATAATATTAACCAACATTTCCTTCATTCTTTGTCTCTAAGTTAGTTATTACATTTAATTAGATTCTACCTGCAATTTAACTTTTGACTTTTTTTTTTTTAAAGATTTTATTTATTTATTTGACAGAGAGAGACACAGCGAGAGAGGAAACACAAGCAGGGGGAGTGGGAGAGGGAGAAGCAGGCTTCCCACTGAGCAGGGAGCCCGACGCGGGCGCGGGGCTCGATCCCAGGACCCTGGGATCATGACCTGAGCTGAAGGCAGATGCTTAACGACTGAGCCACCCAGGCGCCCCACTTTTGACTTTCATGGGTGAAAATATCTTGTATTGCTTTTACATAACTCAGTGGCTGGACATCATCCTGTTGGGTTAAAGTATTCAAAAATAATTTTTAAAAATTTGCCTCAGGCTTTCTCAGAATGTAGGTCTCTTAAAATGGGTTTTGTGTGAAGCTTAGGAAGCCTATTTGATCTGTAGTTGGATTTTTTTTTAAAGATCTATAAATTTGTTTTCTAATCACATATTTAATTATTAATTCTGTTCCCCTCATTCTGGCTTCCTCCTCAAGATGTCCTTTCTCTATCCAAAATAACATAGTGCTTGTCAGTAGGAGATTTTTGGATGTTTGTCATGTAAATTAATGAATGTGGTGGATGGACACTGGAGGGATAATTAGCAGGAAGCTGGAAACATGGTCCTGGAATGTTAGAGAGAAATAAGGGCTAGAAAAGTAGACGTATGGTGTTTCCTCATTGGAGTGATAGTAGGAATTATAGGATGGCGTGAAACCACCCGAGACGAGAAGACAGAGGACTCACCCAACTTGGGGAAGCTTCTGAGGCCGAGGAGCCTCCTAAGGATGGACCTGGGGCAGGAAGGGAGCAAGGCACGTTCCCACTGGCTTAACATGCTTATTGGTTTTCTCCCCCCCCCTTTACCATTAGGGTTACAGAGATGTACTTCCAAATGAAAGAAATGAATGAGAAAGTGTCTTTTATAAAGGACTCTTTACTGTCCTTGGACAGCCAAGTGGGACACCTGCAGGACCTCTCGGCCCTGACAGTGGATACCCTGAAATTCCTTTCTGCTGTTGACACCTTACAAGAGGATGAGGCTCTGCTGGCTAACAGAAAGCATCCAACGTGCAGAAAACTTCCCCACAGCTGGAGCAATGTCATCTGTGCAGGGGTTCCGGGCAGCATGGAGATTTCTGGGGAGAAGAAATACCAGTATTATAGCATGCCTCCTTCGTTGCTGCGGAGCCTGGCCAGAGGCCAGTGTACCCCGAGAGGGCAGAGGGGGCCCCTTCCTGAGATTACAGACAGTCAAAGAAAGCCTTCAAATGTAAGAGATGAGCAGGAAAAACAACAAACAGAAACCACCATAGTTGCTTCTGGGGTGTCCCTCAACAGGCAAGCACAGCGAAAGTATGGCCAGTTTCTCCTGGTCCCTTCTTATTTAAAGCAAGTTCCTTTTTCTGCAGAAACTGAGTTGCCTCTGTTCAGACCCTCTGTGGAAGCAGGTACAGATGTGCTGGCAACTGAACAGGTCACCCAGAGTGAGGTCCCTGTTCATCTGACTTGGCAGAGCCCAGCTGTCTCAGCTCAGGGCTCAGTGGCCAAACCTGAGGCACAGTACGAGTCAGTAGCTCAGATACCAGCCAGACAAGACGAGGGGGAGCAAGTTCTACCCACTTTGATTTGCACGTCTCTACCAATGAAAGTGACCTCCCTCCCTTCCCAAGGTGAGAGCATGGGAACTGAAGGTGGATATGTGAACTGGGCATTTTCAGAAGGTGATGAAACTGGTGTGTTTAGCATCAAGAAAAAATGGCAGACCTGCTTGGCCTCCACTTGTAATAGCGACTCTAAAGAGAGTGGCCAAAGCCAGAGGCAGATCCGAGCCAGATCCCTCTCTGATAACTCATCAAGCTTGGCCCATAGTAGTGACTGCTCGGAGGTGGGACCATGGCTGCAGCCAAACACATCCTTTTGGATCAATCCTTTCCGCAGAGATAGGCCCTTCACTCGGAGTCACAGTTTGAGATTCCACAAGGAGGAGAAACTGAAGATCTCTAAGATTAAAAGTGAGTGAGAGACGATGGACTCTGAGAAACAAACTGAGGGTTCTAGAGGGGAGAGGGGTGGGGGGATGGGTTAGCCTGGTGATGGGTATTAAGGAGGGCACGTTCTGCGTGGAGCACGGGGTATTATGCACAAACAATGAATCATGGAACACTACATCAAAAACTAATGATGTAATGTATGGCGATTAACATAACAATAAAAAAGTAAGTGAACATTTTTTTTGTTTAAAAAAATAAGCTCTTAAATTACTAAATTCTATGCATTACTATTATTTTTAGTAAGTTGACCACCTTTGACTCTATTCTCATTCTCCCCATTTTCAGTCGTCTCTAAAACCAAACGGCTCCCAGCGCAATCTTAAACTTTTTCATGCAAACCCTTTCCCTTACAGACCTTTCAAGATCCTCAGAGATAGGGCAGTCAGCATGGATCAAAACAAAAATGCTAATCAAGGATAAGAGATCGTCAAAGAAAAAGAAGAAAACACAAGGACTGCAGGTGCCAGTAAGTGTCTTTTATGTCGTTGGCAATTGAGGTAGGAGCCTGTCTTAGCTCAGTTTCTCCATAAAGTGCCAGGCACACTACAAAATGGCCCTGGACTGGAAGGAGTGAAGATATAAATTTAAGAGTCATCAGAGTGGATATGCTATAGCTCATTTATCAGCTCACATGTTGAAGGACACGTGTTATTTTCAGTTTGGGCTATTCTAAACAAAGCTGTTATGAACATTTGTGCACAAGTCTTTGTGTGGACATATGTTTCAATTTCTCTTTGGTAAATATTTAGGAGTAGCATGTCAGAGTCATATGGTAAGTATTTGTTTAATTTTAGAAGACACTTCCGAACTGCTTTTCAAAGTGGCTGTATCATTTTACATTCTAACCAGTTTACGAGGAGTAGTTTATGAGTGTTCCACTGGTCCACGTTCTCACCAATCCTTAGTATGCTCAGTCTTTTTAACTTTCGCCATAGTTGGGGGTATGTAGTGGGATCTCATGGTGATTTCATTTGCATTTCTGGAATGACTAGTGCTGCAAGCTATCATTTATGTGCTTTTTTTGACATCCATATATCTTTTTTTTGTGACCTGTCGGTCTGAATATTTTGTCTATTTAAAAAATTGGGTTGTCTTAATAAGTTGTCAGAGTTTTTTCTAGATATAAGCCCATTGTTGGATATATGTTTTACAAATATTTTCTCTTGGTGGCTTGCCTTTTACTTTTCTTAAGTGTCCTTTGAAGTGCATACATGTTTTCTTTTGATGAAATCTGCTGCTTGTTTTTTTTTTTTTAATAGTCTGTGCTTTTGTACCCTATTTAAGAAAATTTAAATTAAGATAACCCAAGATCACTGAGATTTTCTTTCATGTTTTCTTCTAGACGTTTCATAGATTTTGCTCTTATATTTAGGTCTAGCGCCCATTTTGAGTTAACTTCTGTATATGGTGGTAGGTAAGGATTGAGGTCCTTCCCTCTCTTCCCTTTTCTCCCCCTCCCCTGTATTTCTTTGTTCCTTCCTCCCTCCCCCTCTCCCCCCGTTCCTTCCTTGAATACAAATATCAGTTTTTTTCTACCATTTTCTGGCAAAAAGATTGTCTTTTTCCTATTGAGTTGCCTTGATACCTTTGTCAAAAATTGACCATATATATCCATAATACGTATGGATCTATTTCTGGATCTATTCTGTTCCATTTATCTGTATGTCTGTCTTTATGATAATACCATACTATCTTGAATACTGTATCTTATATTAAATATTGAAATCATGTAGTGTAGGTCTGTCAAAGTTATCTTCCTTTTCAAAGTGGTATGGTTTTGTTTTGTTTTTTGGCTATTCTAGTTTCTTTGCATTTCCACATATATTTAGAATCAGCTTGACAGTTTTTACAGAGAAGCTGCTGGGGTGAGTGGAATTGCTGTGAATCAACTTGGGGAGAATTGGCATCTTAACAATAATACGTTTTTTGATCCATGAGCATGATATGTCTATTTATTTAGATGTTCCTCAGTTTCTCTCAGCAGTGTTTTGTAGTTTGCAGTGTACAGTTCTTTTTTTAAAAAAAAAGATTTTTTATTTATTCATTGGAGACGAGAGAGAGCATGAGCAGGGGAGAGAGGGAGAGGGAGAAGCTGACTCCTTGCTGAGTTGGGAGCCCAATGTGGGGTTCAATCCCAGAACCTTGGGATCATGACCTGAGCTGAAGGCAGATGCTTAACCATCTGAGCCACCCAGATGCCAAAAGTGTTCAGTTCTCACACATGTTTTTAAAAATGTCTCCCTAAGTGTTTGATATTTTTATTTTCTTATAAATGCAATTATAAAAAATTTCTGATTATTTGTTGGTAGTATATAGAAATACATATATTTTAAAGACTATTTGAGGGAGAGGGAGAGAGAATGTGAGCAGGGGGTGGTGGTAGGGAGAGAATCTTGGAGCAGACGCCCTGCTGAGCACAGAGCCCAACACAGGGCTTGATCCATGACCTGGAGATCATGACCTGAGCTGAAACCAAGAGTCAGATGCTAAACCAACTGAACCACCCAGATGCCCCTAGAAATATATATATTTTTAAAGATTTTATTTATTTATTTGAGAGAGAGAGAGAGAGAGAGCACATGAGAGGGGGGAGGGTCCGAGGGAGAAGAAGACTCCCTGCTGAGCAGGGAGCCCGATTTGGGACTCGGTCCTGGAACTCCAGGATCATGACCTGAGCCGAAGGCAGACACTTAACCAATTGAGCCACCCAGGCGCCCTAGAAATATATTTTTAAAATATTGATTTTATACACTGCAACCTTATTAAACTTGCTAATTTGTTTGAGTAGGTTTTGTTGCTTCTCTAGTATTTTCTATATAAATGTTCATGTTATCTACAAATGAAGATAGTTTTACTTTTCAAATTTACTTTTTACCTTTCAAATCCAGATGTGTTTTTTTTTTTTTTATTTTTCTTGCCTTATTACACCGGCTAGAATCTCTAGTATATTGAATAAAAGTGACAAAAGCAGATATCCTTTCCTTTTCTCTGGTCTTAGGGGGAAAGCATTTAGGCTTTTACCAGTAAGTATGTTAGCTGTAGCTTTTTATGTAGATGCCTTTTACCAAGTTAAAGAACTTCCTTTCTATACCTAGTTTCTGAGAATTTTTGTCTTTAATAGAGGTGAGCATTTGTCAAATGCTTTTTCTGCACCTCTTGATACAATCAGGTGGTTTTTCCTTTTTATTATGTTACTATGATTAATTATATTAATTTTATAATGTAGAAGTACTATTTAGAATATTAAGTCAACCTGGTTAGGGTGAACCCTGCTTGACAACGATGTATTATCTTTTTTGTATGCTATGTTTATTTTGCTAAAATCTTAATAAGATTTTTTACACATGTATTCTTGAGGAATATTTGTCTATAGATCTCTTTTCTGGTAATGTCTTTGTCTGGTTTTGGTACCAGGGTGATGCTGGGCTTATTGAATGAGTTGGGAAGTATTCCCTCTTCAGTTTTCTAGGTGAGCTTGTATAGAATACATACCATTACAACTTTTATTATTTGGTAGAATTAACCAATAAAACCTTCTTTGTGGGAAAGTTTTTAGCTACAAATTCAATTTCTGTAATAGATATAGGACTATTCAGATTATCTGATTCATCTTCAGTGAGCTTTGTTTGTTGTGTCTTTCAAAGCATTTGTCTATTTCATTTAAGTTTTTGAATTTCTTGGCATGTAGTATTTATAATATCCTTTTCTTATCCCTTTATGGTCTATGGGGTATGTAGTGACATCACTTCTCTCATTCCTAATATCTTAATATTTGTGTTTCTTTCTTTGTTTCATGATTAGTCTCGCTACTGGCTTATCTGCTTTATTGATCTTTCAAAGAACCAGTTCTTGGTTTCATTGATTTATCTCTGAATACTGTTTTATTGATTTCTGCTCTTTATTATTTCTTTTGTTTACTTTGGTTTTCATTTGCTCCGTTTTTTTCTAGTTTGTTAAGATAGAAGTTTTAGTCATTGATTTGAGACTGTCTTCTTTTTTAATACAGGCATTTAGTACTATAAAATTCCCTCTAATCATGGTGTTAGCTGTCTCCCACAAATTCCAATATGTTATGTTTGCATTTTCATTTAGTGAATTTTTTTATTTATAATTAGGAAGTCTCAGATCTGAGTTAGTAATTCCATAGGACTTCACCTTTCCCGATCTTAACGCCCTGTTCATTTCTCCATATAATAACCTGGATGCATTTTTTAAAAGCACCTCAGTTCTTTTTAGAATGAGAAGCAGAGGTTATGTGCTATGGTGAGTGCCGTGAATTGTGTAAGACTGTTGAATCACAGACCTGTACCTCTGAAACAAATAATACATTATATGTTAAAAAAAAAAGAAGATAGTAGGAAGGGTAAAATGAAGGGGGGGACATCGGAGGGGGAGACGAACCATGAGAGACTATGGACTCTGAGAAACAAACTGAGGGTTCTAGAGGGGACGGGGGTGGGGGGGATGGGTTAGCCTGGTGATGGGTATTAAAGAGGGCATGTACTGAATGGAGCACTAGGTGTTATACACAAACAATGAATCATGGAACACTACATCAAAAACTAATGATGTAATGTATGGTGATTAACATAACTTAATAAAATTTTAAAAAAAAGAATGAGAAGCAGAAGCAAAGAGATAAGTATTAAGACAATTATGTAAAATTACCTTTTGGGGGGAGAGATTTAGTCTGTAAAGAAGACTCTTTTACAGGGAAAATGCTATGAGTTGCTGGGATCTTATGAAATATGATTTCAAGTAGATTTGTTTTTTGCGATGGTTAAAGTGACCAGAATTTAACTAGAAATTGAAACTGGGCTTAGGTACTAATAACTTGCATTTGTTTATTGCTTGCATTTTGTCAATTTATCTCATTTCTTCTCTGTCCCTGGTTAGTACATATGGAAGCCATTATTGTTGGCTACTTGTTATTTTAATGAAAAAGGGAATGGGGTTCACAGGCATTAAGTGATTTACCCAAGTTCACGTAACTTCTAAGTGATAGATCTAGAATTCCAACACAAGTTCTTTTTGGATCCAAGCCTTATGTTTTTTTGCTCTATGCCACTGGTTCTCAAATTGTGGTCTTCTATCAGCAGTGTTAGCATTACCTGGAAACTTACTAGACATTAAAATTCTTTCTCCCTCTAGACCTACTGAATGATGGGTCTTGGAGGTGGGACCCTGTAATCTGTGGTTTAGCATAGCCTTGAGTGATTCTGCTGCACACTCAAGTTTGACGGCTGCTGCCCCCCACCCTGGTTCTCAGTCCTGACTGCAAATAATAATTACATGGGTGCTTGTGTCCTGCCAACTTGACTAATGGGAGTTTTCAGAGATTTCCAGGTGATTCTAATGTGCAGCCAATGTTAACAACCACTGCTCCTCCCTCTAGTACCTCTATGAGTCACATTAATGACTAGGAATGTTTTTAGATTAATGTCACTGTGTTCCAACAAGTGTCTTTCTCTCCAGGTCATAAAGGTTGACAGCTGCTCTCAAAATGACCAGCTGGATTCAGAGCCAGGAGAAAATAACATCTCAGAAGAAGAGGCCTACAGCAAGAACTGGCTCACAGTGTCCAAATTTTGTCAGATAAGTATGTAACAGTCTAGACTCTTGGATCTCAGAAACTCTGTGGAAGTTTCCTCACTGCATTCCCAGAACACCGGTGGTCCCTGCTCTTCTTTCAAGTGGAGATGAAAGAAGGAGAGGGTGGCATCATCCATTTAGAAAAAATAACTCCTTTTTTTGATTTTTGATTTTTAGGAAAAGGACAAAATTTCCATTCGTTTAATGGAATAGTTGTTGGGATCGAGAAAAGAAAAACAAGGTTCAGTTTAGTCCCCTATCCAGAGCTGTTGAACCTGGCTCAGGGAGTATTCGTTCAATCTGATGTACGGAGTGGGGTTGTCTAATGTTATGAATTCTTAAGGTTCATGAGACATTGATATGGACCCTTACACAGAACTCAATGGGATGCGTGGTGGTTAGTTATTTATTGCTACTGACATACAGTATTTATTCCAGGGGCAAGTATCCCTTAATGGTGGTTTGTAAAGGAGAAAAGATAGATCAACTAGCTACAGATGAAAACTATGAGGTTGGCAGAGAACGTGAAATGAGCCCGGACAAGTAAGATAAGGCCAGACTGTGAACAGAATTGGGAGCAATGATCAGAACTTTGAACTTCTTGTGTTACACAATAAGAGACCTTTACCAATTCCTTTTTTTAAATTTTATTTGCTTTCACACATTTTTTTTTTTTTTAA